TTCCTTCCTTCCTGGCAGAGGGCATGAGTGAGGGATGGGGAGAGAGGTGGAGAGAGAATCCCATGCAGGCTCCGTACTGTCAGTGCCGAGCCCAAAGTGGGGCTCGAGCTCACCTGAATCAGTACTCAAACTCATGAACCATGAGCTCATGACCTGAGCTAAAGTCAGATGCTTAACCGACTGAGCCACCTAGGCACCCAACTAGCCAAAGACTTCTTAACTAATAAGCAAACCTTAAAGAACTCTCAAATTCCATTTCATTACAATTGAGATGCTTAGATAGTGAATATTGTAAGTGTTTAGAGATGTGCAAGGCCATTCCAGCCTGGCTTGGAGAAGGATCTAGAAATGGCCTTAAAAAATAAGGGAAAGGCGCCTGGGTGGCTCAGTTGGTTAAGCGTCTGACTCTTGATCTCAGTTCAGGACACGATCTCACAGTTCATGGTATCAAGTCCCATGCTGGGCTCTGCACTTCTCTCTCTCTGTGCCTCCCCATGAGCACTCAATCTAAATAAATAAACTTAAAAAAAAATAAGGGGGTACTTGCTTCAGCAGCACATATACTAAAGAAAAAAATCAGGTAAAGTTTATAAGGAGACGAGGAGGGGGAGGTGGCTTGGACACAGCACTGTGTGAGCACCTAAGGGGGCCAAGCAAAGGGCGGAGGGCACAGCTCATTGCCCCGGCTGGCTCACCAGAATGCTGGAAAAGGGCTACAAAAGTAGGTTAGGCCTGGCGTGGAGAACCTGGGGCTGCCCGGTATAGTCTGTGCCCTGCTAAATTAGGTAACTTTTCACAAATTTGATCCCTCAGGTAGTAAAAAACTACTGCACACTTTTAAGGGGGAAAGCACCCTTAAATGTGGTATGAGGTATGAGGTATGTGGTATGAGGACAATTCAGGAAGAACAGGTTGAGAAAGGGAAATTTCATGCGAGAAGCCAGACAGGTGGCATGATGGCAAAGCAAGGAGGTAGAGAGAAGAGGGGGGTGGTGGAGGGTGCAGAGGGCAAGGGAGAGCTGGGAGAGAACTCTTTAAAGGAAGGGCCTGGGCTTGGCGACTGTCCAGGGCTGAAGAACCGTGGAGCTGGTGGAGGCCTGAAACTGGAGGCGCTGAGGAAGGAAAAGGCAGGCAAGGCAGGAGAGGAGACCGCCTGCTGGGAGGCTGCGGCCTGGGGGAGAAGCCGGGGCGCTGGGAAGGGTTTCCTCCAGCTCTGCGGGAGTCAGTGACCAGGTGCCCTCACTTGGCAGGCAGGATACCACTCTGCTTGCGTGCGGTGCCAGGCTAGTTTTTTGACCCCTGTTGTGCCCGTTTTTTTTCTTTTTTTAAAATATTTTATTTACTTTTGAGAGAGAGAGAGATACAGCATGAGCAGGGGAGGGTGAGAGAGAGAGACACACACAGAATCTGAAACAGGCTCCAGGCTCTGAGCTGGCTGTCAGCACAGAGCCCGATGCAGGGCTCAAACCCATGAACCACGAGATCATGACCTGAGCCGAAGCTGGACGCTTAACCAACTGAGCCACCCAGGCACCCCTGATGTGCCCATTTTCAAGAGCATCTCTGCTTGGTGCACACGTGTATGTGTGTGTGGTGTGTGTGTATGTGTGTGTGTGTGTGTGAGTGTGTACTCAGAGGGGTCGTTTGTTCCTTCTGCACTCTTCTGCAGACTCTGTTTTACAAGCAAGAAGTTGGTTAAGGACCGCCCTGGGCGAAGAGCCAGAAGCAGACAAGTCCTTGGTGGGGCTGGGAGGGGGTCTGCATGGCAGCGTGCAGCCAGCCTACCTACCTGTCTTGTCCAGGGGTTCTGCCCCTTACATCAAAACTGTAGCCCATCTTGGGGTGCCTGGGTGGCTCAGTGGGTGAGCTCTTGATTTTGGCTCATGTTATGGACTCACGGATCATGGGATTGAGCCCTGTGTTGGGCCCTGCGCTGATAGTGCGGGACCTGCTTGGGATTCTTTTTCCTTCTCTCTTCTACCCCTCCCCTGCTCTCTCTCCCACTCTCTCAAAACAAATAAACTTAAATAAATTAAAAAGAAACTGTGACCCATCCTGTGTATTTCTTTAGGAGATAGCTAGTTAACAGATGATTAGGCAGTGATCAGTTCTCTTTTGTTAATAATGAACAATTGTTCTATTTCTTAAACTATTTATAGTACTAGAAAAAAATTAGAAAATTTGGAAAGCACAGAAACCTGTATAGTAATTCTTTCCTTCTTCTTTTTTTTTTTTTTTTTTAAACGTAAGCTCTATGCCCAGTGTGGGGCTTGAACTCAAGACCCCTAGATCAAGAGTTGCATGTTCTATGGACTGAGCCAACCAGGCACCCCTGAAGTAATTCTTGTTACATGGTTTCCCAGGATATTTTGAATTAGGCTGTCCAGAGACACATCTATTTAGAGGGATGATTCTAGATGGTGAGCTGTAGGGACCGGAGCAGGCGAGGGTTCTCTGAGCTCCTGATTCCACCACTTTTCATTCCCCCCACATTAAAACATTCTATTATCTTGACTTCTGTGACTCCTTGGCTTTCCCCAGTGGCTTCCCAGCCTCTCATGACCAGTGTCCTTGCCAAGATTCTTGACTCCTTCTATTGCACTCCACACAGCCATCTTGAAAACCCACCTTCTCCTGAGCTTCAGTCACTGTCTACTTGCTCATGACGCTGATGTACCTGCAGCTCAGGATTCCTGCCCTGAGCCCCTCACCATCATCTTAACCAGCTTCTGGCTGTCCCCATATTAGCAGCCTGGCCTCACACAGTATAGTAACATGTCTTTTTACTTGTATCCACCCCTCTAGATCTGCTATTTCTCTTCCTGGTTCCCTAGCTCTGGAAGCTGCACCACCAGGTATTCAATTATCCAGGCCAAGTCCATGCGCCATTTTTGATTCCTCCTTTTTCCCTTAGGCCCCCACAACTTATCATGTTCTGGCAACTCTTTCTCCTAAAGTCAGTGCTACTTAGGGCATTGGTTCAGTGCTGGTCTGTGAACAACCACAGAAATTGAGAGTAAATGCTTAGAAATTTTTATGGCATCTTGAGAAATTTCATGTTTTACAATTTACTGAGAAAAATGTGAGCTTATATTTTATCATTTAAAATTTTTTTATTTTTAGAGCGTTTAAAAATTTTATCATTTAAAGTTCCTTTTTTGGGGGGTGGCTGGATGGCACAGTTGGTTAAGCGTCTGGCTCTTGATTTCAGCTCAGATCATGATTTCATAGTTTGTGAGTTCGAGCCCCACATCAGGCTCTGCACTGGCAGCGTGGAGCCTGCTTGGGATTCTCTCTCTCTCTCTCTCTCTCTCTCTCTCTCTCTGCCCCTCCCCTGCTCATGCTCTCTCTCTCTCTCAAAATAAATAAAACTTAAAAAAAATTTTTTTAATAAAATTATTTTTCTATCAATTGATTTTTAGGGGCACCTGGGTGGATCAGTCAGTTAAGCATCTGACTTCAGTTCAGGTCATGATCTCATGGTTCGTGGGTTCAAGCCCCACGTCGTGCTCTGTGCTAACAGCTAGCTCAGAGTCTGGAGCCTGTTTCAGATTCTGTATCTCCCTTTCTCTCTGACCTTCCCCTGCTCATGCTGTCTCTCTCTCTCTCTCAGAAATAAATAAAACATAAAAAATTCAATTGATTTTTATTGTATTTTACAAAATTATTTCTCCATAATAGACTAGGATAAACAGGCTTTTCATCATGGGTGGAAAAGAGCTGTCCTAAGTCTCTCATGAGCCCACCAGCCACTGCTTGATCACATGGCATCACCCACTGTCTGGCGCGCCTGACAGCCCTCCACCCCCTGTCCATGCCTTCAGCCTTGCTTCCCTCAAATCTAAGCTCCACGTGTGGCCAAGTAAGCAGAAGGGCAAGTCTGGACCCAACCGCTAGCCTGCCACGTAAGCACTTCCCCACCTGAAGTGTAGCGCTAACTTCCCACCATTCTTAGGGCAGCTTCCCAATCCTTTGGCCAGACCCGGACCCTGCTTTCTTGCTTGACTGTGCCCTCCCAAATCACCAAGACTACTCTCCCTGCCAGCCATTGAGAACACTCACTTCTGGGAACACACCATGGTCTCTTGCACATACTGAGCCTTGCACATACTGTCCTGTTAAGTAGGACACTCTTGCCCCATCTGTACCTGATGAAATACAAATTGGTTTTTGGAAAACAAAAAAGAAAAAAATGTGTTTTGGGCCTCAGCTTCCTCTCATGGGCCCCCACCCCTTTTTTTTTTTTTTTTAAAGTTTATTCATTTTGAGAGAGAGAGAAGCCCAACCAGGCTCCACATTCAATGCAGAGCCTGACACGGGTTTTGTCTCACAGCCAACCGTGAGATCACGACCTGAGCCAAGATTAAAGGTCAGGCGCTTAACCCACAGAGCTACCCAAGGGCCCCTACCTTAAGTCCCTCAAATCTTGGCCAGGAGTCCTGTTCCTGTTCTGTGATCCCATTTAATATCCAGTTATAGCACACAACATGTCGTATTACAGCGGTTTTGTCCACCCCCAATCAAAATGTTACTGGGGGAGGAAAGGGTTAGGGTTGTGTCCCAGAGCCTGGTGCAGAGGTAGTCAATGAAGATGTTGGAATCAGCGGACCACGAGGGTGACTGCTGCCTTTAACTCTGTAGGCAGTCTCATCGTGAGACAGACAGTTCTGCCTCTCAGTTGTCTCTCTCTCTACCTCGTACAGGGGCCCTCAGGGAAGAGGAGCATTCTTTCTCCACCTACTCTAATTAGCAGGGCAAGCGAGAGTTCTTCAGAGATAAGCCCCTGTCAGGGCAGTGCCAAGGAAGTAACTGGCTTCCTGACTGAGATGTCATTTGAGATGCCCTATGGTCAGGACTGGCCACCCCCTTCCAACTCAGTGCAGCAAATGGAAGGAGACCCTTTCTCACTGGCTGCTCTGACCTTCTCCAGATATTTATTTGCTAGAAGTGGGTCTTTCCCTACCAACGCTAAGCTTGATACAGACAAGAGAAACACTTACCTGCTTTCAGTAAGGAACCTTCCGCCTTTTCTGGATGCCAAGCTCGAAGCCAGGTCACTGATGAACCGCAGGAACTGCAGGAAGGGTTGGTTTATGGTCCTCTGTTGGTATCGTTAGTGGCCCTCTGTCTTCATGCCCCCACAGCCCGTTCCCCTGGGGCAGGGAGGGAGTCACTAAGCCATCCTCTACTCCGGGTCCCCAGCTTCTCTCCTACCTGAAAAGAGGTCACTACACAGCCTAGCCAAGCCCAGTCCCTCCTCGCCAGGTGGCAAGCAAGTGGCTGTTTACTTGCTTGTGGAATGACTGAGACAAAAATTCGGGCTGGAAAAAGCTTTGTTCAGGGCAGCGTGGGCTGGGCGTGAGGGGAGACTGGCCACCCACTCAGAGACCTGGAAGTCAGGGAGGAGGACAAACAAGGGAAAATCAATGCAGTGCGAACACTTCTGCCAGACTTCTGAGGTCAGAAGCCAGCTTCTGCTTCTCAGAGTCACGCACTTTTCCAGCTACAGGTGATTGCCTAGTTCAGTGGCTCTGTATTTTCAGTGGCTCTGTATTTTCAGTGGTCCACCACGTGCTCCACCGTGGCAGGGCTGCAGTGCTGATGTGGCACGTTGCCTGCACTCACATGCGGTACAGCTGAGTCGTGAACTCCATGCCGCCACTGAAGATTTCTTCCAGCTACACCGCTGGAGAGGTTACTGGAAGTAGTCATTGGTTTTGGCCTTGAAGACCGAGGGCAGAGAGGTAAAATTAAAACCCAGCTTCTTTTTAGCGGCAAAGTGTCTAACCTGGGGCAAGGGAGGAGGCAGTAGCGGAGAGAAAAAAGCTGGTAAAATACTGGGTCCCTAAGGTAGAGGACCTAGTTGCCTGGCCAAGGATTTGGGAGAGATGAAGAATCAGCATGGGACAGACTTTGATGTCAGAGACCCAGGTTCAAATTCCAGCTTCCAAGTTAATAACTACCTCACTTTAGGCAAGTTATTTAACTTAGTGCTTTTCTTCCTCAAAAGGCACTTGAGATATCCACTTCTTCTATAAGACTGCTACGAGGCAGCAGAGTAGAATGACTGAGTGGGCTTTGGAGTAAGACTGCTTTTGAACTGGTTTGAATTCCAGTTTACCACTTACTAGCTGCATTGCATGACTTTAAACAATTACTTAACTTCTCTGTGTCTGCGTCTTCTTCTGTGAAATGAGACTGAGATGTAGAGCATTTAGTACATTTAGCATTTAGTGGCTGGCACATAAAAGGTGTTCACTAAGTGATAACATTTTTTCCTCCCTTTTCTTGATGGGCAATGGAAAGCTGACACAGGATGTGGAGTAGGGGCTCAGAGGGCACAGTTCAGGTTGTTTTTTTTTTTTTTTTTAAGTAGGTTCCATGCCCAACATGGGGGTTGAACTCATGACCCTGAGATCAAGAGTCACATGCTCTACTGACTGAACTGGCCAGGTGCCCACCTGTTTTTTTTTTTCTTTTTGGTCACAGTTCAGGTTTATGGCAGTGCCAAGTGGTTTGGACAGGCCAGGATATGACAATAATCTAGGTGAGAAATAAAATGAGAACCTGTCTGCAGGAGGGAAGAGATGTGTAATTTCTGTGAAGAATCAATCGGGCTTGGCAGGTGATTAAACATGCCAGAGACAAATATCAGGTTTGACACATGGATCAACAAGAGAAGATAGATCATCACCCCGCTAGTAGCATCAGGAATGGGTAGGTTAGGAGAGTGAGGAGGAAGAAAAGTTAGGCTAGCTACTGAGTTTAAAGTGGCAGCCACAAAACAGGGGATGGCAGTGTGCACCAGAAAGAGTGGTACCACACCTGTTAGGGTGTGGTGATCCAATAAACAGAAAACAACACGCGTGGGCAAGGGCGTGGAGGAATTGGATCTCCCATACATTGCTGATGGGAATGTAAAATGACCCAGAGGCTGTGGAAATCGGTATGGCAGGTCCTCAAAGAGTTAAAAACAGAACTGCCATATGATCTAGCAGTTCCACCTCTGGGTATACACCCAGAATGGAAAGCAGTGCCTTAAACATGTATATGTACACTCATGTTCACTGTAACATTATTCATGACAGCCAAAAGGGGAAACATCCCAAATGTCCTTTGATGGATGAATGGATAAATAAAATACAGCATATACACACAATGGGATGTTCTTTAGCCTCAAAAAAATAATAAAATTCTGCTACATGCTACAACATAGATGAACCTGGAAAACATGCTAAGCCAGAAAAAGGAAAAATAGTGTATGATTCCATTTATCTGGGGCACCTACAATAGTCCAATTCATCGACACAGAAAGAAAAGTGGTTACCAGGGATTGGGAGAAAAGGGAGGTAGGGAATTAGTTGAATGGGTATAGAGCTTCACTATGGGATAAAGAAGTTCTGGAGATGGATAGTTGTTATGGTTGCACAATGAGGTGATTGTACTCAGTGCAACTGAAGCATACACTTAACAATGGCCAGGGGCGCCTGGGTGGCTCAGTCAGTTAAGCGTCTGACTTTGGCTTAGATCACATCTCACAGCTTGTGGGTTCAAGCTGCACATTGGGCGCTGTGCTGACAGCTTGGAGCCTGGAGCCTGCTTCAGATTCTGTGTCTCCCTCTCTCTGTCCCTCTCCTGCTTGTGCTTACTCTCTCTCAACATAAACATTTTTTTTTTTTTTAATATCTAAAATTTTAAAAAAAGCAAATGCATTTGGGGCACCTGGGTGGATCAGTTGGTTAAGATCTGACTTGGGCTCAGGTTGTGATCTTACAGTTTTTGAGCTCAAGCCCGCGTTGGGCTCTGTGTCAGCTAGAAGCCCGGAGTCTGATTCAGATTATGTATCTTCCCCTCTCTCTGCCTCCTCATGCTGTCTCTTAAAAATAAACATTAAAAGAACAAAAAGAAAGTATTTAAAAAATGGTTAGAATGGTATATTTTATGTGTATTTCATCAGGGTAGAAAGGAAAAGAGATGAGCCATGAAGCCAGTATATTACATTTAAACATAAATGGGTGACACTGGATGAAGAAGGGAAGATGTCAGTTTTTTTTTAACTTTTTTTTTTTTTTTTTTTTAATTTTCCCTGCTGGGTTCCTTTTTTTTTTTTTTTTTTTAATATTTTATTTATTTCTAGGAGAGAGAGAGAGAGCGTGAGCAGGGGAGGGTCAGAGAGAGAGGGAGTCACAGACTGAAATAGGCTCCAGACTCTGAGCTGGCAGTCAGCACAGAGCCCGATGCGGGGCTCGAACCCACGAACCGCGAGATCATGACCTAAGTGAAAGTTGGACGCTTAACCGACTAAGCCACCCAGGCGCCCCAGTTTTTTTTAACTTTTAAAAAAATGTTTTATTTTTGAGAAAGAGAGAGGCAGAGAGGGAGACACAGAATTTGAAGCAGGCTCCAGGCTCTGAGCTGTCAGCACATAGCCTCACAAGGGGCTTGAACTCATGGGCAGCAAGATCATGACTTGAGCCAAAGTTGGATGCTTCACCAACTCAGCACCCCAGGCACCCCAATTCACCCCAATTAATGTGAATTATAATAAAATGGCTAAGAAAGAATGTTAAAAATAAACAAGATGTAGGAAACAAAACTGTAAATCATTTTGGTAAAAAATTTAATAGTGGCAAATAAAAATTATCGAATAATGGCAGTAGGGACACTTGGTGTCAATGTCCAATAGGAGCTTGGAAAGAGTGACCAAATCATGGCAAAAAAAGTCTGAATTGAAGATGGAAGTTGATTGAATAGACATCTTAAGTTGTAGGTAAAAGTAAAAGGAATCTAGAGGAAGGTGCTTGGCTGGGCTTGGTCAGTAGAACATGTGACTCTTGGTCTTGGGGTTGTGAATTTGGGCCCCATGTCGGGTGTAGAGATCATTTCAAAAAAAAGTCTTTAAAAAAAAGAAGAATGGGAGCAGGTCTTAGGAAGAACACACCTTTGGAAAGAAAAAGAAGGTAACTGGAAGGGCACGCCGTGTGACAGCTGGGTGAATGTGGGTCACGGCACCAGTGAGAACCGGTTCAAGAGGGGGTTGATCAAGCTGTCAGAGGCCACGCAGAAGTTGTAAGGGCTGTGAAAGGGCTGAGGCTCTATGTAAGTCAGTAGTTTTAGAAAGGTAGGGAGGAAGCCAATGTCATGAAAAAAAAGTCAGGTTCTATTGGTAAAGTTTGGATGAAGGTACAGGGTGCTTGGCTGTCTCAGTCAGAAGAGCATGTGACTCTTGATTTTGGGGTTGTGAGTTTGAGCCCCATGTTGGGTGTAGAAATTACTAAAAAAAAAAAAAAACCCAAAGAAAACCCACCCTCAGTGTAAGCCAGCAGTCAGATTTTGTATTTTTTAAATGATTTTTAATGTTTATTTATATTTGAGAGAGCACAGAGCACAAGGAAGGGAAGAGTAGAAAGAGGGAGGCACAGAACTGGAAGCAGGCTCCAGGATCTGAGCTGTCAGCATGGAGACTGACACAGGGCTTGAATCCATGAACCGTGGGATCATGACCTGAGCTGAAGTCACATGCTTAACTGAGCCACCCAGGTGTCCTTCTACATTTCTTTCTACCTATCTATCTATATATATAAAATAACACACATATATATTAAAACAGAGAACAAGTGGGGGAGGGGCACAGAGAGAGAAGGGGTTAGAATATCTCAATCAACGGACTGTGCCACGCAGGTGCCCCCAGAATTTGCATTTCTAACAAATTCCCAGGTGATGCTTTGGTCCAGAGACTACACTCAGAAGCACAATAGAGTATGTGACCACAAGACAACAGCAGACACTTAATATGGAAGGCTGCCATAGTGGGGCCGTCCCATGCCCTCTCCATAAACATGCTCGTTTCTATAGACCTATGTTGTCTCTAGGAAACCTCCTCAGTCCCCCCTGGGGAGAATTACTGGTGTTAGAATGGTTTGCTCCATGTCTTCATCACTGTAGTGTAGCCTCATGGGAGCAGAACCAGGATGAAAAGGAAGAGGGATGTCAGTTGCAGCAAGGACTCAGAGAAAACCAGGCAGAGACTACTGAACGGAACAAGCTGAGACGCCAGGCCAAGGCCGAGGAGATGCCGGCTCTGCGTTCCTCGCCAGCACATCCAGGTCTGTCCAAACCAAATGGCTAACAACACACCACCCTCCTGCAATGATTAAACTGCAGGGAGCGAATACAAATCTTTCTACTACTTAATGCAGTGTGTTCTTTCTAACACTTTATTGTAGTCCATTTTTTCTGTATTATTTTTCTCCCTTTACTGTGAACTCTGAGCAAAGAAAGCTATTTCCCCCCTTTTCCACTGTTAGTAATTAGGCAAATAACTAGACATAAGCTGGAATTTAATACTTACTGAGAACTTGACTGCAAGTTAGTTCTTGGGGCACACACAGGCCAGGCTTCGCTTGGATGTCTTTGCCTTCCTACTGTGGACTCAATTCTTCCCCAAAGCAAAAACCTTGAATCCAATCCAAGGAACTAACTCCACTTTGTTAAAAAAAAAATTCTATCTAGCATGAACTGGCTTAGAATAGAGCTACTTCTTCCTTGCCATTCTCTGTCCAAAATGAGGTTCAAATCCAAGATTCTAGGAGCAAGTAGTGCTTTTCCAAACCTGAAGACTTCTCAAGGGGACCTGAATTTATATGCGGGTCATGGAAACAGAAGGGGGCTGGGATTTCAGCACACAATAGCCAAATCTGGGGATTTTCCAGCTGCCTCTTTGGCTGGTATTCCACAGTCCATCTTACACTGAAGGTTTTTGGTAAAATTGCCTAAGGAAACTAGAGGAGCGAGCACTGGTAAGCAAGAGAGGGGACTAAAGCACATACACAGATGTTCTCCATTAAAAAACCCAAGGGAAAACCTCAAGGCCAGGGTAACAGATCTGCAGGGCCAATCTACAGAGAATCCCGTTGGGGGTGGGGAGGGAGGGTGAGTGCCGGCTACAGCAGTCAGGGCACTCAGAGCTCTGCCTCATTCCCAGCTGGTCTAGAATCCAGGCCTGGGAGGAAAAGGTCCGATGGCATTTCTTCCAAAGGCACCCCTTGCACAACAGTTTACTGACATAGGCCTTTCACCTCTAGTTAGATTACAGGGTGAAGGGTGACCTCCAAGAGAGTCCAAGCCTGGATTATTTTCTGCATTCTGCTAATACCATTCTCAGAGAGTGTAGATTATGGCAAAACTGAACCCTACAGGGACTACTTGTTTATATAATTAAGATACCTTTCCTTCCCCAATGACAGCAATTGGTTTAGAGACAGAAGACATTAATGTTTAACAAGAGAAGCACTCTGGATGTTTCCAAATGTCAAAAAAGAAAGTTCCGCAGAGTTTTGAGACTAATCCTCACTGACAATTTGTGACTTCCTTCCTTTTCCCTAAATCTTGCCCTGCCAGCTTTCTTTTCATGCTCCAATTTGAAGCAAGCAGCCAGTGATTATAATTGCTGTGTGAGCTATGTACACATAGGGTTTAATGAGTGTTAATTCAAATAATAGTTCCAAAAATAGAGCTGCATCAACACTGCCTACTATACCAAATTTTGAAAAAGAGTTCACTTGTGGAAGGTACTTTGTTTTGATCCCAAAGAGATAAATCTGGAAACGTCCTAAAGGACACTCAGCTAAGAGCTAAGTTCCTATGACAAAGTAAATTAAACCCTATCATTAGCTGAAACAGTCAAAGAATTTTAGCCCTTGCTTGGTGAAGAATTCATGTCACAGTAGTTGCAGTTGGGAATCTGGAAGTCAGAAATCAGTTTTTTCATGCATCTTACGGATGTGATACTCAAATGAACTGGGAGTAGAGTTGATATGGACCATGTCAGTGTCACAGTTGCCACAACAACAAAGGAAGCCAGGCCAGGGCAGTGGTCCACCCACCCTATCCCACCAATGCAAAAGGAGACACTACGAAAGCATCTAACCAGCATCGTGTCAAATCTAGGGTTTACTAATGATTTTCCTTAAAGTTATTGTTGGTTTTTGCTTTAAAAATTATATGGAAATGCAACTACTAAACTAGAAAACATGACTGGTATAATATTTTTTAGGAAAAATGCCTTTTATGGGAGATAGTTTTAAAGCAGCTGACAGGATAGAAATCTCAAAAATATATTAGTTGATAATAATAGATCAACAGAGATAACAACACCAGATAATCAGGAGGTCAAGAGAGATCTGTCACTGTCCTAGAAAGTGATAAACCTGAGTGAACAACAGATTTGGAAATTGATACTATTTGTGTTAGAATTTTTACTGAATGAGATTACTCACAAGGCCAAGTAAGGATAAAACAGTCCAGAAATTTTGGGGTCTTGGGACTATAGCTACTTTAAGACGGCTACTTTGTTGTTCTTTTTTCAAGTAATCTACACCTAACCTAGGGCTCAAACTCATGACCCTGAGAACGAGAGTCACGTGTTCCATGACTGAGCCAGTCAGGTGCCCCAAGGTGGTCACTTTTTATCTATTCTCTTCCCCCATAATAAAAACCCTCCTAGGAACTGGAAATAAAACCTCAATGAACTGGGCAGGTAGAAGAGCACCTGCTTGCTTACCTAGCCTAGTAGCTCCCACTTTTGACCACCTGTAATTCACACACAGCTGTAGGCCAGAGCTGTCTGCTGGAAGGAGAGCAAAAGTAGTGTATGCAAGTGTGTCAAAGGTGTGTATCAAGGGCTAGGTGTGTGGGGGTGGTATTGAGAGTGGGCACAACGAGGCGGGTGTTGACGGGGCTAGCTGGGGGGTATTGTATCCCAGATACCGTGTGAACAGCCAGTCAGTTTTCATACTGTTCTGAGGCCCTCCACAGAACACGCACCACCATCACCTGCAAAGGGCACACTCCTCTGACTGCCCCTACAACCGCCCGCCCGTCTTGATGAAGCCAGGGGAGATGGGTGGTGGCGCTGGGGCCTCGTTCAAACCTTCATCCCAATGATAAAAGTGACACACGGACACACACAACTCACACATATCAGAGCCTTGCTATTTTAAGAATGTACTTTATACAAAATAACCAGTTCATATGGAAATAAAATCTACAGATCTCTGAGGATCAAAAAGCTTTTTAAAAAGTTCTTTTAAAAAATTATCCAACACACGATATCGAACTAACTATTGAGGTAAGTGTCGCTCTCAGTGAAACAAGGAAATCAGCAGACCACGACAAAATATACACAATATAAAAATAAATAGCATTCCCCTTTCCAGTACTGGCCAGGAAAGTTCTCACGGCTTTTGCAGCAGGAGCGAAGAATCCCTGACACCATGCCGCAGGCTGGTGGAGACTGGCCTGGGCTCCCAGGAGCTGTGTGCAAGGCAGGAGAGTGAGGTACCCAGGTCCCAGCTAGGGGAAAGGGGTCACACGGAGGACACTGAATGGAGTTCAGCATTGCAATAACTTACTCATTATCCACACCTCTGTTCCCAACCCCATCCCACCCTTTTCAAAAACATGCAGGACAATCAGCTGCTTCTCAGGCATTTCTACATAGAGTTCAGTCAGTCCCCTGGTACACAGTGAGAGACCACGACTAGCTGGGGAGACAGCCCTGCTAAACGTCTGTTTAGCAGAGGCCTACAAAGCAGAGACAGATGAACACCCAACCTGGAGAGAAGGTTTGCGTCACAGCTTCATAAGACATGGGATGCAGAAATGTTCATTTAAGTTCTGTTTTCCCAATGGGAAAGCAGGGCAAGGCTGGGTGTCCTACGGCTCCATATTATAGAGAGAGTCCAACCCACCCAAAAAGTTTAAAAAGGGGATTCTTCTCATGCAAGTCTCAATCACATTCTTAGTTCTTAGACAGTGACATGAGCCCAGAAATAAAAGCTCAACCACAATTTCAAGTATCCTCACTGGCGTGTTGAACAGAGAGCTATCCGCAGGGACACTGTATCCCAGAACCCCCCATGGTGGCACAATCTTGACCCACATGCACATGGAGCTGACTTCCTTATGGAGGCCCATGCAGAATCTGGTAGGGGGCAAAAGCACTGACACTCAGTCACAAAGCAGAGGGTAGCAATAATGCTAGAACACTCTAAGCCTTTCATTTCTTTGAAAGTATGACAGGATTCTGACACTATGTGACTGTCCTTGCCTTCGGACTACTGGGTTAAGACTTCCTGTGAAATTCAGATTAGGTCTTAAGAGCAGTATATTATTTACAGATTTGAACTTCCATGAAAAAAAAAAGGGAAAAAATTTCAATCTAGTGGTATGGATCAAAAGCTTGTTTCTGACATCTGTGGTGACTGCAACACTGGGATTTTGTGTGTTTTGGACAGCGCTTTGTTTTGGAGTATGTGTTTTGGACATACTCTTGGACTCCATGGGAATTAGCAGAAACCACACACTAGACAAATGCCATAGGATAACACCACCACATGGTTAGTCAGGAAAAGCAGTTCCAAGGTCTGAGGGCTAGGCTACGGCACATTGACATTTCAAGCTGAGGTGTGAGTGAACACACACACACACACACTATGGGTCTTAAAAGTTTTCAATAAACATAAAAACAAAGATGAGCATGAAAAGAATTTTGCCTTTGGAGAGCAGTCTGACTTGGGCTCACTGAAAACAAAAGAATCGTTAATAACAAGCTTATGTGCACTGCCAGAAGAACTAAACCAATGTGATTAAGGAGAGGTGTAGAGTGGGTTTAATTTTATTTTTAGGAACAAAGATCTGCATATTTTGCCCTTACTCTTCACATGCATCTACCATAATTTTAGCCAACAGCTACTTTTTAAATGAACAGACTCTGATGGAAAAATGAAACAAAACAAAAACCCAAACCAGAAACCTTCTGAAAGGCTTTACTTTTCTTTCTGGATCATTTATTTCTCTTGGGTCTTGGGGAAACAGATTCTAACTTATTAACAACTCTAATAAAGGCTAGCCAGGACTATCAAATCAAACAGGTGTGAGAGTATCCTCGTTACCTGTGGACCCCAGCTATCCCCTCCTGGGGACCCCTGAGAGTCAGCCGAGAGCTGACCCACCGTGTAAAAGTCCTTCTAGCCCAAGAGAGATCATTTTTAGTACCTCCTCACACACTACTTTCTAGTTACAGCATATCACATGACCATCATCCCCACCATGGAGACAATGGCAAATGCATTTGCATCTGCTTAAGACACTTGGGAAGAGAAGTGCCAGAGGAGAAAGACAAGGGAAGAAATGGTCCTGTGGATCAGTGATTCACAGCAGCTCAATGGTCACGTGTTCCTGCAATCTTGCAGCACCTGACTGCTTTTAGCAGATCTGGACTTCAAAGACCAATACAAGCTCAGGATATAGCAGACAAGGGCTGAAGTGCTGGCACCTGTAACGCATGACCCAGTTCCCACATGGGATGCAACAAGGCTGACAAGTTTGCTGTTGCCCTTTTTCCCAGTGTTATATGATACAGTAGTTCAATCCTTGATACTATTCTTCCTTAATATCGTCTCACCTCTCTACATACTAAGAAGGGAGGTTAAGGATTACTGATCTCTTCCTATATTGTTCACAGCTTCTCTCTAGCA